CAAGAAAAACAAAGCATCGGAATTTTTGAAATCTGTTCATGCACACTGGACCCAGTGGTGGGTACCTGAAACCCTCGGAATAGAAAAGACCCTGAGCGTTAAGTTCTATAATGGTTTTCCGAATGGTTTTCGAAAGCAAACCAATACATAGATATCAGCGCTGTAACTTGGACGGTTAATTGGTTTTCGAATGCGTTTCGGAGACTTATTTCGGCTGGGAAAAGTATTTGTTTGAATGTGAGTATTAGCTTGTACATGATTGATTTAAATATGCGTTAAAAACCTTTAAAAAAGCAGGCCTCGTTTACTTCACACTGCCGATGGAAAACATTATCAAAAGAAAGTATAGCAGTCACACTTCATGCTGTTATCTTGCGAGGACGCGGCACTACCCCATACTAGTCTGCCTACTGGTGCTGTTGAACACTCACTTGCCCACTTTCTAATGGTTGGTAACTACTCTACAACCCGCCAGGTTTTTAGGATCTCCATGGGCCGTAAGCACTTGACATCAGGTGAACCGCCTGCTTGCTTGACAACATTTCACTTAAAGAAGGATAATTTACTCAAATCTGTGACGCTATCTTTCTCCTTCTTTGAACAGACCGAATCAAAAAGCGGAAACTGTTACATCACTATGTAACTGCAGAAGAAACGCTCTCACTTTTTCGTCTCTTCGTCTCACTAGTTATGCAAGGTTCGTAATGAACGTTAACTTAAATAATCGTTTCACGGTAAAAGTGTTGAATGTTAGAGAAGAAAGTTTGGAATAGGACCATCACGAAAGTGCATCGATTGCGGTAAGAAAGCGTTGTAAATAGATATCAGACCTTCATCGGGTTTATCAATAATAAGTTACTTGTATTTATTATGATACTATTTTGCGAATTTTATCGCATTTCACTATTTGATTTTAATTCTCGAAGTTTCGAACCCTTTCCAGCGTTCAAAGTCACGGGACAGACTACTACTTACTTGAAATTAAAACAACGGAAATTTTATTAAAAGAAATTTCTACTATTATTAAATATGTTTAGGAAGATACGTTTATAGTCTGTGTAATGTGATATTTCACAGATTACCTATAAAATATTATCTGCGCGGTCGACAGCGCCGTTTCTTTAATTTCAAAAATATGTAAAGCAGCAGATGTAACAAATGTGTTTAAAATTACACTAATTATAAGTCATCATAACATCTTAATGGCACTTTCTCCCACAGGATTTGTATAGGGGCCTGACAGAACCGAAGCCGTTATTAGGATTATTGGTACTTTTTTTCTTTTTTTTTTTAAATTTATTAATCACAAAAAATATACAAAGAATAGGCTTACATAGCTATTCTCGCCAAACTTTTATCTATCGACTAACAATGTTCTCAATCACTACGGCTTTGTACCATAATCGTCAGACCCGTATGTTACTTACATGACGCAGTCCTTTCCATACTAGCTGGTAAACGACTACAATGTTTAAAACAACTCGAGAGATCAGATTACTCGAGTAACTTGAGTTTAATTTCAGTCAGTAATGAAATAGATTGTTGTATTTCTATTTACGTTATGTTAAACGTATCAACAAAACAAGACACATGAGGTAATGCTTTTAATTGAGAACAAAGCTACACTGACGCAATTGAAAGTAAGAAAAATATTGTTACAGGGTTGCTATCACTTAGCTAATTATGTGAACTTTATTATTTACGAAAGAAAACAGGAATTTTAAACCTCACTCCACTTCTAGGCAGAACTAATAAGAAAGTACAAACATATGGAATCAATTTAAATGAATTTAGAAGCCCTTTGCGATGAGCGATTGTTAAGTTGAATGAACTTTTTGTGCTAACGAAGTAATGTCTACCGAGACTTAAAGAGCATCTATAGTCTATGCCAACGGTACAACTTTGTATTTATATCATCATCATCATTTCAGTCTGTTGAGTCCACTGCTGTAGATTGTATTCATATACTTTTCTATGTGAAACGTTGTAAAGCAAACAGGCGGTTCACCATGAATACCATAGTCCATGAACATGTACAGACATCTTTTGAAAAAACGGGCCCCGGTATCCTCAATCACCAGACGAAACGAATAATACTTCCACCTCAAGCTGGTCTTCTGTGAAGCCGTGGTACTTCTCCGGACGGGCCTGCCCACTCATGCCACAGGAGCATATGTTGCGTGGCTACTATCGCCGAAAACAAATATGTGCAAATCTAGTTCTTGCGATAAATTCAACTCGATACATGTCGCCATCTAAGACTGGCTGAGTATGTATGAACGTGAAAAAAATAATTGGGGATAGTTGTCTTTCGCGTCCGTAGGTGGTAACTCTTAGGTTCCCTACACGTGTCCCCTGGGTGGTGCTAATTGAAAGACAACGCTGAGCAAGCTGAGCTGAGCGGTTAAGTAACCCGACTTAGTAGGCTTCCACGAGCCTAGAAAAATGGAAATATTTTCTGAAAGTGTGGAGCTCGCGAAGACGGGTGGCAGACGTGGCGAGTAGCGAGCTAAATACCTCCAATAATTTATCACATGCTGAAGAAGAAGAAGAAGAAGGTAAGGTCAACGAGAATGCTGGAGTCTTTGTCGGGCAAATATTTTAGCCTGAGATAGCCAATATAAAAAAGAAAAACTTCACTTAAGATTATTACGGTCTTTTGAAAAACCTAACACGTCTTACAGTCTTTTGTTTCAAGAAGAATAATAAAAAGTAGCTATAACGACTTTTTACAGTGTCCGGGCGCTCTCTTTAAATTCAATATAGTCGAGCAACCTGAGTTCGATCCCAGGTGCCGGCACCAATGAAATTGTTAATTTTAAGTGCTGATCTATCACGTGCTCACACAAAACATCCTGATGAAACCTGCATATTTAACTTGCTTGCAAATAATGACAAAAAAGTATACTTCGAACATATTACGTGTAGGCCGCCAATCCGCAGAGGGGCTGCGTGGTGGACTACCCTTTGTACTGAGGAGGCCTTTGCTCAGCAGTGGGACATATATAGACTCTTATATTTTTGTAATAATAGACATTAGAGGGCAATTGAATTATAAGCATACTTTTTCTATATAGCAAAGCTAATTGTTTATTAAATGTTTTATGGTCACTATCAGGAAAAATTTGAAAAATGTGTACATATATAGTGATACTTAGTATGAAGTCCGGGGAAATTTTGGCATTTTAGAAGAAGACTACGAAAATAAGATTAGTTACTATGATACTCGTGTATCTAATAGTGTTATTTTAATATTAGCGGGTGCCATAAATCATGTCTTCGTCATAGATATAAAACCGCAGGAGGGTTGCCCGGAATGAAGAGATTGCGCGGGGGTCGGCGGATTTGATTAAAACCAAATGAAGGCGCAAAACTGAAACATGGGAAAAGTATAGAGGCGGATCTTCCCCTTCATTTTTTCGATTAATTTTTTGTGTTGATGAAACATATTATGTTTATATATTATGAGTTTGTCAGTAATCATAGAAGTGTTAGTGTGTGCTCTGTGAAACCCAAACCAACGAAATGCATTTTTTTATGTGAGAAGGTGGCAAACGAGCTGGCAGTTCACCTGATGTAAAATGATAAGCACCGCCCATTGGCATTTGCAATACCCCTAGGGTTGCAAATGCGTTGCCACCTTTTAATAATAATAAGGACTCCCCTGCCGAGGGCTTCCGTCTGGTTGGGTCCTATTTATATATGTACTATATACGGTTACATACCTGATATGTTTATTTTTATTAATAATAATTATTTTATATACGCAATATATATCTATATGTTTATTTTTTATCTATAAACCCAACCAGACGAGAAAACAAATGAATATCCCCCCATAATAATAAAGAAGATAAGACCGCAGAGTTTGTTGCCGGATCTTCTTTGGACAGGTCTAGTTAAGTGTACCAGTGGTGGTTTTTGACTTTCAAGTAATTTTGACTTTGACTTTGAATAAAGTGGGCTCCGGTCACATTACTCACCAGACGAAACGCAGAGGTACAACACTTGTACTTAACGCCGGGTCTTCTGTGAGGTCGTGGTCCGGGGAAGGACCTGCCCATTCGTGCAACAGTAAAGACTGTTGTGTGGTTCTTACGAGAACTGGGTGGTAGTGCTACATGGCATAAAGTAAAGCAGTCTCATCGTGAGATGTGTAACATCTCATCCTGAGATGACAGAGAAATGGATTATAACTTTTTTTTCTAGTGATTTAAATATTAATTAATTATTTAGGACCACGTATATGGCAAACCAAAGCTAAGCGTCTGTTCTCTGTTGGAATGGACACTAATGTTAAGAGTTTGTTTGTATAATTTTGTATAAGCCTACTTGAAGTTGAAAAAAAATGAAGTAATAAAATTCATCTAAAAAGTAAGAATCTTAATTTTGTAGACAGAGTCAGAAGAAAAAGTTGATTGTCGTGTCTATACTTTCGAATGTCCCACGGAGCAACAGGCTGTATCCCATGGGTGTTATAACGGAAGGGTTAATGTATGAATTGCGGATTGAATTATGCATTTTAATATTTGTGTCCCAAACACTATCGTACACCACGAAATTTTATACACCTCTTGTAAATAATGATTTCTAAACTGTTTAAGCGAGCTTGGATAAGCAAAGATAGCAAAGAAAGTTTTTGAAACGTTATCTGTTTTTAAAAAAAAACATTTCCCTTACTGTAGATTAAAATCAGAATAAAAGGACGTTTTCATTACATAAATTATACGTGAACAAATACCCAGATACGAATCAATGAAGATTACCGTGTGGGAATCGAACCTATGACCCTTAGTCGAAGCCGATACCTTGCCAACTGCAACACGAAGTCATCAAATAAAGAGCCTTTTATCGACGGTAAAAATTTCATGGCCGATTTAATAATTGGCCTGCGTGACGTCAACCAACGATCCCCAGGGCTGAAGAAAATAGCTTTGTAATTTCGCTGCCGAGTTATACTTTTTATTTACATTAATATATTATGTTAACAGCTATCTTACCTCGTAAGCCTTCTTTCCGTGTTCTTCGTGCTCCTCTTCCTCCGAAGAGTGATGTTCTCCACCATGCCCTGGAGAAGATAGGTGTCCTTTTAACGCCATGTGCTTTTCTTTTACGATGCTTACATTGTTATCTTACAATCGAGGGTTCGGAGGTCTTTTTCTATGTTTTTTTTTATGTGAGGAAGTGGCAAACGAGCTGGCGGTTCACCTAATGTTAAGTGATAACCGCCTGCCCATGGACATTTGCAACACTCGTAGGGTTGCAGATGCGATGCCACCTCTTAATAATGTGGGTCCCGGCTACCTCACTCACCAGACGAAACGCAGAAGTGCAACACTTCTACTTTACGCCGGTCTTCTGTGAGGTCGTGGTACTAACCCGGATGGACCTGCCCATTCGTGCAACAGAGAAGACTGTTGCGTGGCCCTACCACCGTTCAGGTGAGGAAGTGGCGAGCGAGCAGGTTCACCTGATGAGTGATAACCGCCGCCCATCGACAGTTGCAACACCTTACCGTACGGTTGAAGATACGTTACCACTATTCAATAATTGGGCCCCGGCCACCTCACTCACACGACGAAACGCAGAAGTATATCACTTCCACTTCACGCCGGTTTTCTGTGAGCTCGTGGTACTAACCCGGATGGACCTGCCCATTCGTGCAACAGAGAAGACTGTTGCGTTGCCTTAATACAAGAATTCTCTATTATTTCTTATTCTATGCCCCAATTTTAAGATTAAATTTTATGATAAGTTACAAAGTTTTTTCTAATATCATGGTTTATATTATAGTCTATGTTTTTTTTTATAAGCTGGGCGTAAGAAATTAAGTATATTCCGCACATTGTCCGGTCAGTCGATAAGTTGCCCTGTTTTCTGTACACAGCTTACTTAATAAATAAGTTAGGAAGCTAAGTCTAGTGTTCTATTTGCATTTCATTTAGAAATCTATCCAAGAAATAGAGCAAATCTATGAAATAACAATAGTGCGTCTTTGGCGCCTCCGAGACTGATAAAGTGAAATGCCTGAAACCGTTAGCTACGCAATATTGACAGTGTGTCCGTACGTACATTGTTTACCGAGATGTGTCCCATTATATTGTAACGCCGTCAAACTTCAAGAAACCTTAGAATCCTTTCACTATAGTAGGACCTAGCAGTAATGTTGGTTATGGGTGATTAGCGATAGTTATACTTTAAAATGCGATCTCACATACAAATCCTTGTGAGTTAGTCGATGGTGCAAATAGTTTAAAAAAGGGGACATCCTGATTTGAACCAATACTCTACAACAACTATGCTACTCTTATATCATACCCACGGTACTGTTTGTCCTCTGTTAACTCCATGTAATTAAAAAAATTATAGGTTTATAACACACTGATTTACATACATGTGGAGATAGCATAATTATATTTTACAAATTATAGAATAGTTTAATATGGCTTAATGTCAGTACATCGATATAAAAGTTATATGTTAATGGCAGGTCTACAACACAGAACAGAACAGACAGACACAACAGAACGTTTCTTATAAATTTATTAAAGGTAATAAAGTACCATTAAAACTTTTTAAAGATTAAAACTTATAAATTACAGTTACATCTAACTGGAATAAAAATCCAACAGCAATATTAAATAAAATCATAGTAGTTTCTTGGGTTTTTTTTATTTGACAAATTGGCAAACGAGCAGGCGGTTAACCTGATGTAAAGTGATAAACGCCGCCCATGGACATTTGAAATAGCCGTAAAGTTGCGAACAATGTTGCGTGGCCCCACTACAGGTGTTGCGTGGCCCTGCCACAGGTAGGTTCCTAAACTTATATATTACATAAGCAAAGTCGTATATCATGTGGTTCTGAAACTTATCAATATTATATTTACTGTCAATTCCTAGCCTTTATGTGGTGACCCTACTTTGCGTCTTTACTTTCAACGACAGGCGCATTTCATTTGAGACTGTGCTCTATAAAATGTTAGTGATTTTTTTTTGGGTTCCGTAACCAAAAGTGCCGTGTATTTTGGTTTCTTTTCCTATACAGATTGGTCTTTAGTAAGTTAACCTTAAAAAAAGGAGGGAGTTCTCAATTGGACTGTGTTTTTTTTACTTTCAATTGAACGAACCGATTTTGATGATTCTTTTTGAAGTAAAACTTCTTTAGGCGCGACTAGGGAGTAACTCAGATTTTTTCTGACGGAAGTAATGTAATTACTAAATATTTAATCATTTCAGTGATATATGCCGTCAACGCCAAAGAAGTTTTACTTCAATCGCGCGTAAAGGTTACACGCACACACTTTTTTGTTTTATTTGAAATTTGTTGCCTCCCGTGTGGTCCCATATTAATTTCATTGGTATTGGATCTTGGGCTCCGGAGATACTTGGGGAACTCGTAAAAATCAATTATAAAATGAATACAAAGCGAGATATTTAAAGTCAGTTTTGTTTTTCGTTAAATAAAGTAGATTATTTTACATTAGTAGTGTGAATAGCCTATTGGTTTAATTTTGTCTTTTCACTATATAACGGAATAACAAGACAGAGAAATGACGGACAGAGATTGAATAAAGAGTGCAAATATAACGAAAATGTTTTTCTACAACCAAACGTTTCATTAAATTATAAAATTTAAGTGACTAATCTATATGTACGGATCCCTCATTGATTCGGCTATTTTTTTTTTCTTTCAGTGTACGTGCTAAGCGATATTATTAGTCTCCAGCAACTTGATTGGGTCAAAAGGAGGTTTTTATACATTCAATAGTACTCGTGATACCTGAAAATAGAATTGAGGGAGATGGCTTAGGTTTTGCCTATTAGTAGGCATTAATAAATGAATAAAATGACGTTCCATTGTATATCACTACTATCATATTAGTATGGTTAAATGAAATAACTTATTCCGTTTTTAACCGACTTGAAAAAGGAGGTGGTTTCTCAATTCGACTGTATATATATTTTTTTTTATAAGTGTTCGCGGATAACTTCGTCGTTGATGAACCGATTTTAATGATTCTTTGTTTTTAGGAAAGGCGATATCCCGACGGTGGTACCATGACAAGGAAACCAGATCTAGTGATGGCATCCCAGAGAAATCGAGGGCAATCCTCAAATTATAGGTATTAATAACATTTTTTAGTTTCCGGTTTGAAGTCTTTTTTTTTTTGTTAAAATTATGTTTTTGCTTTAATGTTTGTTTAACAATTGAAATAAAAAGCAGTGTACGGAGCAGGCCTCGGAATATCTATAACCATGACGTCATCGATTCGCCGTCCAACGTTTAAGCACCATGACCACAATTTAATTCGGAACAATTGTAAATACCACCATTTCTTTTTCTATCTACTGACGAATCTAGCCGGTGTAACCGTCACGGATGTTTGCTTTAACTAATAACGCGTAGACTCTATCATTTTTACAAGAATCATTACATGTCTTTCATGCATAGTGAATATCTTTTTTTTTTTGTAAAACATTGCTGTAAGAGCAATGTTTTACAAAAAAAATGTTGGATAACACTATCCCGTGTTATAAGGAGGTTTACCAAACATAAATTTGACACGGACAAAAACCCAAATAGTCACAGACAAAAACAATAGTCTTGTGGGTCACACAAATAGTAGCCCCGCGTGGGAATCGAAACGCCGACCCTCGGCGCCGAAGCCAACACTGGCAACTGCGCCACGAGATCATCGTGAGTCATACCATAACGTGTAATTATGTCTGACCAGTGTTGCAAGGTGGCATTTACTACACTATTGTTCTTATTTTTTTACATGTACTTGATTGTACACCACGAAGAATTTCATACAGTTATATATATAAAATACAGCTTAGTTAAGTTAGTTAGAATAAGGCAGTTTTATCACTAAAGAAGGATCTTTTCGAGACTAATGAATAGAAGGAGGTAGGTTACTTAATAAACTTAATTGATAGTACGAAAATAAACTAAAATATAATAAAGAAACATAAACATAAATAAACAAATAACTCATAAATAAATACACGTGAGATGAATTGAATCCAAATTATTCATTCATTTCATATAATGCTTCCGAGTATGACAGATATCTACAGTTTGATTGTTTTTAACTTTTTTAATTTTATCAAAACAAAAACGTGTAACATTTTTATGTAATAATACAAAAACAAAACTGGCTTCAAATATCTCACAAATACTTAGTGAGATATTTGAAGATAAAGTCAGTTTTATTTTCTTGTTCAGTATTTCCTGTTCAATTTTGCGGAGTTCTCTGGTGTTCATCTTCTGAGGGGCCGTGGCAATTTCCCTTGCGAGCCTGCCCATTCCTGCAACAGCAGAAGCTATTGCGTGTGCCCCAGTAAAAAAATGACGTGAACCCAGTGTTAAAAGAAATTATAAAATGGGTAATAAAAAAATACCGGAGTTCTGAGGTAACAAACCTAAAAGAATACAACCGAATTTAGAACCGCCTCCATCTTTAAAGCCGTTAAACAGTACACTTTGGTTATTTGGTTTCTTGCTCCATTACTGCTGTGTTTTGCGCAAAGCTTTTTAAATAAAGTTAAGTATAATTTTTTATTAAGTAAAGGGGCCGTAATAAAAAGCGATGCGATATAATTACATGATAACACTATTAAAGAAACTACTTTACGGATTGCATCGCGTTTTAGTTTTGATGTCAAATAAATGTCAAAAGTGTTGATGTCAATTTAACCCGCGCTACCGTCAATTATTTCGGAAAATAAATTACAGAATAGTTGACGGTAGCCCGATTTAACTTTGACATCAAGACGTTTAACAACTCAGTCTGTGGGACAGACTACCGGTTCGAGACGAACATAAAATTCGAAATTCCCGAGAATTAAAAATCAAAATTAAAACGCGATGAAATCCGTAAACTAGTTTCATTTCATATGTATCATATTCGCGTAAAATCCAGAAATCAATGCGTTAATACTAGCCTATGTCTACGACTTCGACCCCGTGGATCTAGTAAGGTTAATAAATGAAAACGGATTTTACTAATTACAAATATTTATATTCATTCAACGGCCGTGATAGGTCAGTAGAGCCGTGATG